TACGGGGAACAATAACCGTCTCTATCGGCAGAGAGGAAGAGAGACAGAGCGAGAGAGAAAGAGAAAGCGTGTCTTCAACAGAAGAGACTTCATCGACGCGAAATTCTGCAGTCGCGAATGCGGTATAAACTATTAAACAATTGCGTTTCGTGCCGAGTAAATCGCACGACAATTAACGCGCAACAAGGGGGAGGAGAAAGAAGGGATAAAATAAGATTCGCATTACGAGTAGACGCGTATCAGAAGAAGTGGACGAAGACGAATGGTTTTGGCCGCGACGATTTACGAACACGCAATGACGTACGTCCGCGATAAATTCAATTTGGCGTTTAGAGTTTGGGACTTTTAATTCACCATGGCGCGAGGTCTACGGTATTCAATTCGTCGCCGGGACGATATCGAGATTTTTATCCTGCTCTCAACTCTAATATTCCATTTAACGATAACTTTGATCCTCTCGAGCCTATTAATCTCTTTTGATTCTATTTGACCTAATAGCTTCGCCGAGTTCCCTTTAGAATCTACAAGCGGCATTTTGTACGTTTTCTACTATTTGAAGACGTCAGGTAGGACTTCAGGTTCCATTTGTATTAACATTTACATTAATCCTTCAGAATACACATGTTGGAGAGTTCAGACTGAAAATGTGTCTAAAATTTTGACTGTGTGTCATTGCGCGAAATATCGCATTCGAACACCGGCTTCTGTTTTCTATGTCATTTATCGATGGCGTATCAACGCGTGATTAATTATGTCACTCATTCGCGATACGCAAAACAAGAACGTGGACCGTGAAACGCTTTGCTACCAATGCTACGTTGGATCAAACTTTCGGAACATGACTTTTGGATATTATAAAATTATTTTGAAGATTTTGGACATGTTAGTGAGGGAGTAGAGTCATATTATCTTAAATTGTTATCCAGGAGACAATGCTAAGCAAGATACGCACACTTGACCTCATTTTCGAAGATATACATTTGAAACTCGAAAATTATTTTAAGCAACTGTAAAAGATCTAAACCATTTGTGGAGGGCACCTAAAAGTAAATATTTACCCGCATGATTGAGAAATAACATTAATTTTTGCCTTGGCAACCATATTTTGGCAAGTGATATCCTTAGTGTTTTCTCCATGTAAGAAACAGTCGCGTTTCAGTCATTTTCGATGAGATCTCGCGCTAACAGAACTCGTCCCACAACGTCACGCGTTCTAGTTCGCTAATCTTCAATATCTCGAAGTTTTTCATGTAATTGTTTGCAAAATATCAAGGCTGCTTGTGCTCATGTTGACGTGTTCCACCTTCACACGGTTTTGTATATCTTACGTCAGACACACTATGTATAACAATAGTTTTAAAGAAATAGTTGATTTTACTGATTAAGTG